TTTTGAGATGGAGTTTTGCTCTTGTTGCCCAGGCTGGAGTGCAGTTGCATGATCTCGGCTCAGTGCAAGCTCTGCCTCCTGGGTTCAAGCGATTCTCCCACCTCAGTCTCCCGAGTAGCTGGCATTACAGGCATGTGCCACCACCCCTGGTTAATTTTGTTTTTTTAGTAGAGATGGGGTTTCTCCACGTTGGTCAGGCTGGTCTTGAATTCCCGACCTCAGGTGATCTGCCCGCCTTGGCCTCCCAAAGTGCTGGGATTACAGGCATGAGCCACCATGCCTGGCCTCTTCTTTCTTTTCTTCCTGCATTTTTTTCTTCTGTCCCCACACTGTTTCATAATTTCTTTTAACTATTAGATGAGGAAAAATGTAAACTGTATTTGGAGGATAAGGCTCAAGCTTTCTTCCTCATTGAGGGTCAGCTACCTTTAATTGATTTAAAATTTCAATTCAGTTTTTTTTCTCAGTTCGTTGAAATTGACAAGCATCTATTATATTTCTACTTGAGTTCAAAAACTTTAAGATTGGTTTTTTTTTGGTGATATTCTTACCCTAGTGATAATCTTACCCTAATTAAAAATTGCACCAGCCTGGCCAACGTAGTGAAACCCAGCTCCACTAAAAATACAAAAATTAGCCGGGTGTGGTGGCACGCACCTGTAGTCCCAGCTACTTGGGAGGCTGAGGCAGGAGAATTGCTTGAACCCAGGAGGTGGAGAAGGTTGCAGTGAGCCGTGACGGCACCATTGCATTCCAGCCTGGGTGACAGAGCTAGACTTTGTCTCAAAACAAAACAGAACAAACAAATTACAAACAACAAAATTGATGCTTTTAAAAAACAAATTTGGCCAGGCTCTGTGGCTCATGCCTGTAATTCTAGCATTTGGCCAGGCTCTGTGGCTCATGCCTGTAATTCTAGCATTTTGGGAGGCAGAGGCAGGAGGATCATTTGAGGCTAGGAGTTCATGACCCGCCTGGGCAACATAGTGAGACCCTGTCTCTACAAAAAAGAAAAACCCCAGAAAGTTATTGTGAGCAGCCAGTGTGGAAAGTACATGGATATTTTATTATCCCTACTTCATTGCATGGGTAATACTTTTTTGTACTTTTACAATATCCCCCCCCCCTTTTTTTTTTCTTAAAGACAGTCTCGCTCTGTCGCCAGGCTGGAGTGCAGTGGCGCGATCTCAGCTCACTGCAACCTCCGCCTCCCAGGTTCAAGCGATTCTCCTGCTTCAGCCTCCCAAGTAGCTGGGACTACAGACACGCGCCATCATGCCCAGCTAATTTTTGTATTTTTAGTAGATACAGGGTTTCAGCATGTTGGTCAGGATGGTCTCAATCTCCTGACGTCGTGATCCACCTGCCTTGTCCTCCCAAAGTGCTGGTATTACAGGCATGAGCCACTGTGCCCAGCCTCAATATTTTTTAAAAACAAATTTTAAAGGCCATTTCTACTCCAGAGTTTTCTAAGGATCAAATGAGATACTGTATGTA